CACAGCTATTTAATACCCAGTTGACCTGTTACATTGGTTTAAATGTTTCCCAATACTTGACACTACTTAAATATAGACTAGGTTGTTTTATACTTAATAGTTATGGTTATTGGAAAAAAATATTGGACAATTATTAGATACTGTAGTTGTTAAACTATCACTTTCGTCTTAATCAACAAAAAAGTAGGACCAGGCACATATGCATCGGTCCAAGTTGCCACACCTCATTAGCACAAGACGAACAACAAATCTAGAGTAGTTACTTCATTGGTGGTAATATATAAAAGGAAGATATTGTATAAGGATATAATACAGGAAGAAAAAACTAATTGGTAGGAAGAAGGATAAAAAGCAGTTTTAATCTCACGGTTTAAAGGAAGACAAAGTGTGTATACACCTACGCCATCGTGATCGATCTTGAGTCATGTTACCCAGAGTCTTCAACGAGTGATAACGACAGTCGCGCGGGCCCCAACTAAGTAGTTTGGAACTGCCAACATGGTGCAGACCAGAAGTTAGTAACTTCAAGCATTGTTGACACGTTTTGGTTTGACCGCCTCTAACTTTCTTCCAACCGTCTCCAACACTAGTCAGCATTGTACATCATGGTAATCGGTGTTCAGGCATACGTAACACGTGGCTCATCCCAGTCGACGAATATTTATATGTATGATCAAATAGTAGTAGCTCACGAGTATATTCTACTCTTAGTGGCCACGTTTTGCAGCCGTAAAGTAAGACAGAAGGAACTGCGCAATACTCTTGGCCCTTAATTGATAGACAGATATTTCACCTTCGCTATAGGTGACGTAGGGTGGCAAAAGCAAAACGAGCTTTCCGAGTCCGTGCTGGGATTTCGTCAGACAGCAACCCGATTGGGCTGGTCAAACTTTCAAGGTAAGTAAAGTTGCCGACGCTTTCAACTACTTCATTCCCCATCCTTAGTTCAGGTGTTGACTAAGCCAGTCCTGGGACAACAACTTGGATTTAGAAAGGGAGAGACGCATTCCAAACAGCCTGGTACTGTTGTTCAGTGCTAACAAAAGATTCAGCATTTTATCGGCGTCTTCACCAAACAGGAATATCATCTGCGTATTCATATCGCTAAGAGATCTATTAAATCACCTCGTTGACATGGTTGCATTTTTCGGACCTTGATGAGTTACAGAATTTGGTGAGCTTCTTCAGCAACTCCGGCACGTTTAGTGTTAATAATGATTGGTTGGAAATAATTGCAGAGGCAATCTAAGAGTGCAAAGGGTTAACCCCTAAGTGGTATTTCTAGAAGTTCTTCGTTACCTCATAGTCTCGCTACTTTTAGTCCAGAGTTTAGATGTTGAGAATATGTTCTTGAGGTACGTTATCATCTAGTTTATGCATACGACCTACATAACCAGTGCAAGTTGCTGTGCACATTCGTATGCTTGTCAGTCGTTACTATACTTTATGGGAAAATGAAGATTCTTATTAACTTCTAAACTCTAGCCACATTACAAAGCAAGTCCACTTCCATTTTCAGATGTCACCTGGTGTGCTTTCAAAAACAAAGAATCAATGTTCTCGCAGCACATAACATTGCTTTCGGCGTATATAAGGTGTTGTTCACAAGTGAAATGCTCCAATAACGCAAATTAAATAGACAGACCATAGCACTGGATACTGTGTCCATAATCTTATATTTCAAAATATAATCAGTACCTGGAGTTTGCAATGATGTCGTCCAAAATGACGGTAGCTCCACGACCAAATAATTCAGCTCGGAGAACTAAACTCTATCAACAGTTATAAACTAATTTATAAAGAGCAGTAGCTAATCAAATAGAATTATCACTACTCAGAAATAAATTGACTTCGGTTTAATCGATTGTCTTGAGGGCTTCAAAATACTCCACTTCTACGTTACTGTTCTGCGGTTGTTTCGCCTTTAATATTACTTACAGACAGATTGTCGTAGGTGTACTTGAACAATACTGATATTTTTCTGGATTCAAAGCAGTAGTTTCATCAATAAGACATAAAAGTTGGTTTTAGTATGTATAGGTCGTTACTCTTCACTTCTTCGAATCGAAAGTAAATGAGGAACCAATTAGTCGACAGCACAATGACTCAACTGGCAAGAATTGGTATAGCTCTCTGCAATACATAGCTTCCCGTTGAAATCTTATTATAAAAAATTGGTTTAGTCTTACTATGACAACAAAAACAAGCTACGTTATTTAGGTTGATACTAACATTGCCTATTTCCAACTAACAGAAGAGATAAGCGCAACCTCAACCATTTCCAAGATATAAATAAGTGATATCACGCTGTGAGAACTGGACGATAATTTATAGTGAACAACTAACAAGAAATTGGTTCGGTATTCTAGATCACATGGAACAAAGTACAAACAGACAGAAGATCCAGTTCAACGAAACACTGAACTATATTTTTTCCAGTAAAGAAGTACACTATAATTGAAATCGGCACAACCCGACATAAAATTTAATGTATATAGTCAGAAAAATTACTATAACCGTGACCTGGAAAAGTGATAGACAATAGGAAAAGCGGACCAACAACAAAAACGCAGGGAGGATTAAAAAACAATATAGTTTACATAGCAGCGCATACGTTTCAATAAACTGACCACCTTATTTATCAGTCCTAAGGCATTAGATGTTGAGAAAAAATCACCGACCAATCTGGTTGGTAACTCCCTTGTAGCAAGCGTGAGAAGTCACCACACCGATTGACACCGCAGTAACCAAATATGGGTCCGACTAAGTCTAATCCAACTCTCGATCCACCGGTAACCTCACACTACAACTCCCACCGAGCACCAAAGTAGTCCCGTACACCTTTAAGTTTCTCACTCACTTTTGTCATGGTTCACTGCAATACTATTATATCACAACCTCACCGTGCGTATTCCAAAATTGCTAATCACAACAACTGCATTAGTTTTGCCTCTTGGTGCAGACTCGTTGAATACGTGGCCCTAGCGTAGTCTGAGATACAATAATAAACTTCGGAATCGCACCACGGAACTAAGCACTAACTCTCGTCACTCGCATTCTATCCTCTCATTTATCCAGGGGGTCTGGCTGTTGGTTTTATGTCCAAAGACGGTCTTTTTGTTGAGCGAGAACTTATCCAGGTGCCAAGACCGAACAACTACTTATTTATTTGCTGAGATCTTGACTGAACAGGCAACATAATCCCGCTGCGCTTGCAAACATCATGGGCCCAACCATAACAGACCAACGGGCAGACATGCAGAAACGACTGGTCGTGAGACAAACAATAAACACAATTTATTCGCAAGCGAAACTAGCCCCTCGACAAGGTTGGTTCATCTGTATCACGATGATGCACTTCGAAGTCTACATGATAACACGAAGGACAGTCTCGGCGGATTTGACACAGGTGAATTACCTAATGTTTACGTCATGTCTCACCGTACAGTCATGTTGAAGAAATAACGACAACTTACTGGCGCAACGAACGTCGACTGGCATAGCCCATCGGTTTGAGCTTGAATCTAGACAATTTGAGCTTGGTGTGATATGACGCGACCAAGATGCCCAACTATCGTATTCTTCACTTCCCAACCTGATTTCGAAATCCCCTCTGAGACTTAAAACACAACACCACGTCAATCTTTGCACACTATTATAATCCACGTCCCTGGTGCGCCTTAGACTAGTCAGCACTAAACAGTAGCTTTACACACTACACAGAACGACACTTTTCCCGTGGTTATAGTCGAGGGCAACTCACGGTCAGCTAAGCAACTACGAGACTAAACTCCTGGTGCAGTAGATAGAGGCGCCAATGTCTTGTGAAAGCTTACTTCTCACAACCAAGTCAGACAGTTGAATACCACGATCGATGGCTAGTCACGACCCCGAGGACTCCACCCATCTGCACTCATTGACAAGCCCTGTCTGCGATAGACCAAGCAATGGAGTCAACCGAAATGCTTTTCTAGATAGTTGACAGAATTCCTGTCGAGGAGACTCTTCATAGCCATGAAGTATTGAAAATTAATGACCCTGACTAACAAGCGAGAAATTTTTCGAGTTGGCATTACTGGAATGTGAAATTGTAGAACCTTATCTCACCACAACACATTATATGTAGACCTGCCATCTGGCAGTCACTTCGCTTCGTGACAACCAGCTCCCGATCAGTATTACATGGACCTCATAATACCAACACGTGATATCAACAAAAGAGATTAAACAATTTATTTGACACCAAAGCAAATAATGTTGAGTCCTGATGTGAAAACAGGATTTTTCGGCGTTGAAATTGATTACCTAGCTTTAAGAACCAAACGGGATTTATTTATTTACGTCCAATGGGTGCTGGACGATAGCCTTCATGGACGTCTATCGACTGTTTTGGGGTCCATTGCAAAGGTGGAACGCCAAAGCATTTAATGGGCGAGAAATGTTCCAGAACAGTTGTGATCTAACATCCGTTGTTGTGCGAGTATTTTTGTACAGGACTTACGATACGGGTATGCTCCTGACAGCTTGGTTTGCAACCTACATTCCGCTATCCGATCCCAAGCATCCATGAGCAAATCCAAGAAATCCAAAGTCCATCCTTAGATGAAATCCAAGACTCCTGAAACTTATATCCTACTGACCATTTCACTATCTTGTGGTTTCGACTCAAACTTAGGATCCACAATGCACACCTACTCCCTTTTCCATCTGGAGAAGCAGAAGTATGACCTCCTGAGAATCACTCATGGTAAAGTGCATCCATCAATCCACTGACATGTACAGTAAATATTAGTATTCCTATCCCTTCAGATGCACTGAGTCCATCCTGTGGCCACAAAACTAATATTCCGCCGTTCCCTCCTATGTGGTCGTTTTCTCTTTCCATTATCCAGAAGACCTTTAAAAGCAAGAAAACTGTATTGAGTTTGTGTGATAACGAATAAAAATGGCCGTGACATCAAATTTTAATTACGTACAAACTTTCACACTTGTCCATTGTCTTATCGTCGAGGGCTGATTGACCTAGAGCACGAATCGTAGGATCGACCTCTTCTTGGTGAGCCATACGATCGAGACCTGGAACGAGACCCTCCAGCCCTCTCTTCGCGGACACGGATATACGAGGACTCACCCTACAAAATTCGAATCACCATAATCGACAAACATACCTCATGGGAACGAAACTTGGAGTCGTCCAGACGTCTAATAGCATACTTCATGTCCTCGTACCTTAGGAATTCAACTACACCGGTGCCATCTCGGAACACATCGGCATATCCAACATCCCCAGCTTCACGCATGTGATCCTTGAGATCTTGCCAACTACCAGTGGGTGGTAAACCCGTAACAATTACTCGGAAGTCTGACCTCCTTGAAGGGCCACTAGCCCCACCTCCCCCACGATTAAAGCCTCCTCGCCGAAACTGGTTAGGGTTAGGACCGCCATTCCCATTGTTAAAACCTCCAGTGCGTGGTAACTCGACTCGCAAGGCGTACCCATCAAAGTTGTATCCATCACGTCCACGAACGGCATCCGACGCATCACTTGGAAGGTCCACGTCATATAAACACAACTTACAGCTCGTCTTCGAACTCAACGAATGCAAACGGTGGACCACGTCTTTGTCCAGCTTTCAGATCGATTGCTGCTATCGGACCATACTTCGAAAATAGATTCTCGATATCTCGAGTTTTGGTATCTGGAGGCAGATTCCCAACATAGATCTTGTGAGTAGTTCTGGACATTTTGATGCAGGTTCTAGAGTACCGCTCAACAGAGGTTTTGAACGGATAAAACAAACGTCTCTAAAACCCTGAGTTGATTGTTAACGTTTATCTTGCGCTATGTGCTAGTTCTATGCTATGTGTGGATATACATGTTCTACGTCTATCAGAAGTGTAGTTTGGAGACATAATGTTCGAGTACACTGTTCAGGATGAAACAGATGGATTGATGCTATTTCGCGAATTACACTAAGCATCGTAAAATGTCAGTCTTTAGTCCTCAGTAATAAGGATAGTATTTTGGTAACTTGTGATAATCCTGATAGATTGCCTTCCAGTGAATGTCCAGCTTCGCCTTGAAAATAGTCACTGATGGGCTGATGCCACTTGTTCGGGCAAGGCGTTTCAGTCATTCAGATTCAGATTTGTGTAGTAAGGACAGAAGGCCTACGGCCTATTTTATTCCTTTTATAGTATGCTTCTGTGAGTGTCCAGTTTTCTCTTGAAAGAGTCAATCGAAGGTGCGGACACCACTGCTTCAGGCAGCAGGTTCCAAGTATTGATGTCGCGGTGTAAAAACCTGTATGCCACGGGTATTTTGTTCTTTCTTGGCTTTTCTACTCGCCTGCTATGTCCTCTAAGGTGTCCCAATCTAGTGTGAAGAAAGAGAGAGAGAATAAGTTAGGTCCGAAGTCATTTCTCAGTATTCTGTACATCAAAATTAGATCCCCCTTAGTCTGCGGTAGGACAGAGTAAAGGGGTCCAGTTTTTCGAGCCGCTCTTTGTATGATAAACCCCGGAGTTCTGGAATTGCACGGGTAGCTGCCCTCTGTACTTTTTCTAGTATGTCTGAGTCGCCTTTTAAACAGGGGCTTGCAGCATGAGAGCAGTTCTCTAGCTTAGTTCTCACTAAGGATGTGTATACAGTGGTGAACATGGCAGTATCTAACTTAGTGAATGTCCGTTTTAAAGCTCAGAGGGTTCGAAACCCCTTGGCTGCGACCTCCCGACAATGGGATGTCGTCTTTAGATCATTACTCACTGTCACCCCTAGATCCTTATGAGACCGAACTACGGGTAATGACACATCCCCTATGTTGTACGTATTAACCTTTGGATCCACCAAGTGCGCGGAGACACACTTTTCCACGTTGATAGGCATCACCCATTCTTTAGACAAGTTTATCATATTATTTAAGTCAGTCTGAAGAGTAAATGCGTCTTTGTCTCCAGTTATTACTCGCCAAATTTTTACATCGTCAGCGTATAATAACATTGGAGACTGTACTATACTTGTAAGATCATTTACGTACATTATAAAAAGTAAAAGACCTAGGACGGAACCTTGGGGTACTCCACTAAGTACTGGTCTCCAGACGGAGCACTTGGAATTTATTCTTACTTTTTGTCTACGACCTACTAGAAAATCTCTAATCCATTTTAAAAGAAGTCCGTTAATACCAAAGTTTTCCAACTTCAATAGCAGTCTATTAGTTGGCACCTTGACAAAAGCCTTACTAAAATCTATGTAGACAACATCCACTGAGTTTCCGTTGTCTAGAGCATTAATCCAGAACTCCCTAGCTATAAGAAAGTTCGTTGTACAGGATAGACCCTTTCTAAAACCATGTTGTGCCATGTTCAACAAGTTATTGGTTTCCATAAATGCCGTTATGGTCCGTTTGATTATTATTTCCAATATTTTAATTACAACACTGATGAGGCTTACGGACCTGTAATTCGATGGAACTTGTCGTGGACCTATTTTATGTATGGGAGTGACGATTGCGTCCTTCCAGTCCATAGGTAACACACCTTGGTCAGGTGACATATTGAATATCACAGTCAGTGGGACCGCGATATATTGGGCAATATGTCTCAAGATTTTGGGGTGTAGTTCATTTGGTCCTGTTGACTTCTCCATATTTAAAGGGCTAAGAGCCTTAAGCACATCGTTTTGGTCGAAGTCCATGGTGAGCTGCTGGTTTGTTGACTCTGTTTTTGGGTCTGGTTCTTTCTGTAGAGGAGGTTCCGGAGTGAAAACTGCCCCAAAATAGTCAGCCATAGCCTCTGCTCTTTCCTGATCTTCCTCTATCATTTCAGATTCACTTCCTACTTTAATTAGTTTGAAAAACCAGTGATGTATCCTTGTTCTGTAGTTTATGTACGAGTATATTTTCTTGGGCTGCTTGAGTGCAGATTGTGCCAGCTGCATTTCATATTTTCTTTGGGCTTCCCGAATTTTCATTATACACTCGTTTCTTATCGATCTGTAGCGCTCCATCGTACCTGCTGTGCCAAGGTGGATGGCAACGTCCCAGCATTTCTTCTTTTGTCTCAGTAAACGTCGAATATCCCGCCCTATCCAAGGATGTCCGTGCTTCTTTTTCTTTGGGACAATCCAGGGTATGTATGGTTGAGTTACCTGATTGTATAACTACCTGAATAGAGTCCATGCCTCTCGTACTGATGCCTTTGAGTCAATTTCCCAGTTTTCAGCCGATGCTGCGGAGTTAATTGCCTGCATATCTGCCTTGCATATGTATGGACGGGCCGGTGCAACTGATTGACAGGCAATCTTAGCCATGAATTTGAATAAGATGAGTTCATGGTCACTTCTCTAAAGTGGTGGGAGAAAAGCCAATTGACCAACATCATCACCGTGTGTGAAAACTAAATCTAAAAGAGAGGAAGAGTTTTAAACCTGAGAGCACTGGATGGCCGTTTTGTCCTAATATGGGAATCCTCAGCAGTGAGCATTCACGATCCCGCCCCCCCCAGCGAGACTCAAGCCCAGTACCTATCAGTCTTTCGCGCGAACGCTTAACCATTAGACCACTGAGCTGTTCATTGATTACTCGATGGAAAAACTATGTGACCAAAAACTTAGCCCGAATCATCTATTCAAATAACTTAACGACTATGCTAGTTAGACTGAAAGGCTCGTAGTTAGATAGGATTCGCCTCTAACCATCCTTAAATATAGGACTGACTACAGTATCTTTCCAATCTCTAAGGAGTTAGGCGAGTGAAAGGGACGTGTTGAAGAGCGTCGCGAGCGGATTGAAATAATGTCCGCAAGAGATGACAGCAGTCATGAATATAACCCATCAGGTCCCGGTATCTTACAAGGTTTGAGGTTAGTTATCAATGGAAGAACAGTTTCCTCAGTTATACGTTCAGATCCAACCGTTGGTATCTCGGTGTGATTGTAACTAGTATTCGAAGAAATACACGTAGTGTAGACTTCGCTAAAGTAGTTGGAGGAAGTCTCAGCTTTTGCCTGATCTGATCAAACTAGTAAATCTGAATTTTCGTGTAACGGTAATGGGGGAATACCACCACTACAATTTGTTCGCCGTCTAACATACAAAAACAATCGTTTCGAACAAGTACGGCTGTCATATGCCAACTGTCTTTCGTAAGTAATACAGGATTTAGCTATGGTCTTTTTGCATATATTCCGGATTTTTCGATATTCACATTTAAATGGTGCGTGTTCTGTTGACAAGAATAAGCCCCAGGTGTGTTTCCTACGCTTCAATAGCTTCCAGGTTTCCTTATTAATCCATGGTGGGCAATGTAATAGCCTTCGTTATAACCATGGGATAAAAGGTGGTGTTACGGACTCGAATGTGTCCTTAAACCTATTCCATTCGTCTTCGATCGATCCTTTCACGTCGACCCACCAGTCAGTTGACATAGTACAGTCCCTGATTGCCGGAATATTGGCTCGCCAGATATTAGAACGGGGTGGAGCAGATACAAATTGTATACCATGTGCTCCGAACTTGAAGTAGAGTACAACGTGACCACTATTCACCAGTAGGGGAAGATGCTGAATGTCAATGACTTCCTCACATTGGTGTGTGAGGACAAGGTCCAGCAATGACGGGTCATGTTCCATGTCAATGTGTGTCGGTTTTGCGATACATTGTGCAAGTGTACACTGAATAATGGTTGATAGAAGATAGCTATCGAAACCTTCACGCGGAGCTGTAATCTCGATCCAGTTGATATGCTGTGCGTTGAAGTCTTCAATAATGAGACAACATTCTGCTTTACTCCAAGAACAAATGTGTCTAAAGATAAAGTCATCAGCAAGATAACACGGACTACGGTACATTCATTCTATAGTCACTAACCCGTATCTGGACTTAATTGTGCAACATGGTACCTCACATGTACCATTAACATACTCCACCAACATGACTGGTTGAATACGGAAATGGTCTCTAACGTATAATATTATGCCTCCTCCACTGCAACATAACTCTCTATCACTTCTAGTACAGATGTAACCTACAATGATGGGAGAACAGTCTATATTTCAGTGAGCCAAGTTTCTATGACGACAATTATATCGGGACTTAATTCATCCACCATCAAACTCAGCTAGGACGTTTTATTTCGAAGACTACGGGCGTTCTTGTAGCACGTTTTTAAGGTGCTTTGTGAATCATTCGGTCTACCTATACTGGTCGCGGAAGCAATGGTTTCCGAGACCTGACTACCCGAAAGCTCTTAATCGTAAGGTTCGTTTCGCGAATTAGCTTTCGAGTACTTAACTCATTAAGAGCATTCTTCCCCCTGATTCGATCCACAAGCAGCCAATGTGGTCGGATACGAATATTTGAAACACGAGTTTTGTGTTCGTTAATCAATATTATGTCTCTATCCTTAACATACCCGAGTACCAACTTCAAGATCTTAAGGCATAGATTTCCCACAAATTCTCTTCTATTAAATACAACCGCAAAGTTTTTCGGCAGTACCAGTGCCTGAATGAGTTATTCGTAGAATTACCAACACACGAACAATGTCTGTCGTTATGTGTCACGAAAATCAATCCTTATTGAAGAAGATTACAAAGTGCCAACAAAACAATAGCTGCGATAAAAAGACCACATTGTTTTGAGCACAATGAAAATTCCTGTCCCGATAAGATACGAAACGGGGACATGTTGCAAAAAGTGTCCACTTTATTCGTCAATTTTAAAGCATTGAGAAAAAATCACCGACCAATCTGGTTGGTAACTCCCTTGTAGCAAGCGTGAGAAGTCACCACACCGATTGACACCGCAGTAACCAAATATGGGTCCGACTGAGTCTAATCCAACTCTCGATCCACCGGTAACCTCACACTACAACTCCCACCGAGCACCAAAGTAGTCCCGTACACCTTTAAGTTTCTCACTCACTTTTGTCATGGTTCACTGCAATACTATTATATCACAACCTCACCGTGCGTATTCCAAAATTGCTAATCACAACAACTGCATTAGTTTTGCCTCTTGGTGCAGACTCGTTGAATACGTGGCCCTAGCGTAGTCTGAGATACAATAATAAACTTCGGAATCGCACCACGGAACTAAGCACTAACTCTCGTCACTCGCATTCTATCCTCTCATTTATCCAGGGGGTCTGGCTGTTGGTTTTATGTCCAAAGACGGTCTTTTTGTTGAGCGAGAACTTATCCAGGTGTCGACACTTAGCCACCACTGAATTATCTTTTATCTTCTTTCTTTTTCGTTTCAATTTTTATGTTGTTTTTATACGTTGGTTTGCCTGTTTATTCTTCTGTCCATTTCTTTTTTGTTCACTCTGTTGTGATTTTTATATTCTGTATCCCTGCATTATCATTCTTCATGATAGTTTTAAAAAATGCATAATATATCTTAAGCTCAATGTTCTTCTTATCTTCCAGTTTACTCTATTTCATTTAATTTCTGGTTTCGATCGTCATTACATGAAAGTGTATAAAATGTTATATATAATTCAACGCAGTTTTATTTTACTTTTGGAGAATGTTGGTGTGTGGCCTATGCTTTTCTGCTTGGTGTGACAGGTGTAAGTTAGTAAGTTTCACACCTTTCATATGTCTTTCTATATACTACATTTCATTTGAAGATACGTACCTTGATTTAATAGGGAATAGATTTGATTATGGTATTTGTAAACTTTTTCAAATATTTATTTATGTTAATTATATGTTATCGTAATACCTATCACAGAGTTAGTGGTTTATTTAGATGTATGATATAAACCACTTCCTAACATTAAGAAATGACATTTGTAGATTTCAAAATCGAATGAACTGTACGCTTTTCGATTTTAATGTGTTTTAAGAATTATAAGCCTCTGAAGTGGCTACCGAATAAATAATTAGGATGTTAAGTTTGAAGGTTTTTTTACGGCTCTTAAACTTTTCTCAGAAGATACACGGAAGTGCTGAAGATACAAACAAACTAATTCTATAGTTTAATAAAGATAACCATTTACCATAATATACATGACTATTTAATAACTAAACGGACCAAGCTCCAAAGTTTGCATTGAACACATGGACTGTGACTAGCAGTGGAGTTTCAGACACTCATTTAATCTTAGTTAAGACTAATAAGCTGGATGTATCTGAATCTCAGAGTAGATGATCATTTTGAGATTCGAAACCAGCACCTTTTTCTAAAAACGACATCACGTTATCCACTTAGCTACTGTGTCTGAAATAGAAGTTAATGCTCGTTCTGGATTCTATTGTTAAGCACAGTCCGTCTATTCTATATAAACCTATGAAAAATAGGTATATTGTGGCAGTGTAATTAGGGTGCACATATGCCAACTAAGTCTTATAAAATCTCAGTCAAAACATCAACAACTAGATAATTCAAACAATTTCAAATTGGGCTGCTGAGGTTTTTTTTTGAAACTTCGGAAAAGCTCTTGGGGAATTTATGAAACGTTAACCTTAGTTTATGGTGATATTTTTTCCATGAAATTCAGTTTCAATGATTACCTAAAAGACTATAAAATGATGCATCGAAATGATAGTCATCAATTATCTATGTTGAAGGGAGTATCAAATTCTACGTGGTATTTTATGCTTTTCCATTGCCCTTCCACCAATTGCTGATTTTCTGAACTAGGGAATTTTGTTCATACTCACGGTTTTTAAAAGATGCTCGGTGCTGAGGAACGACAAATTAACTAGTGCGATTGATTTTTGAGAATGCATAAGGATATTTCACGTAAAAATGGGGGGGGGTAAGACTATTACACGGCCAGAGGTGGGGTGTAATTAAAGGGGAGATAAAAGTGAAGAACTACATGTTTCATATGATAAAGTATCTGTCAACCAGTTTTGAAAATTTCTTGGACAAAATAGTGGTTCGTTTAGTTTACTAATTCGTTTATTTTTTCTATCAAATGGATGAGTCAAAAATAAGAAATCAAGTAGAATAAATAAAAAACAATTTATTGATGAAACCCGAATAAACTGCTTTCTTTTACATAGGAAGAAAATAAAAGTTGTCTATTTAGTTTACAATATACCACTGACTTTGAATTATGCTGATGTTTGCGAATTATTTTACTTCATTCTTGAATCGTCCAAAAAGCTGTCTCGTAGGTTGATGTTGTTCAGCGATTGTTCATCTAAAACCAAATTCAAGTTTCGTATAATTGTTTTATTGATTTGATGTATTATATTAGAATCAGGATTAATTAATGACTGCACTGGGCGCCATATATTTTGTTTATTATTTAGTGAACCTTTGTTGAAAGAAAAGGATTAATTAATAATCATATTAATATAAATACAAAATGCAGATAAAAGTGAACAATAAAACAACTGATTGAGGCCAATTACATTTTCATGAATAATAAATTTCTATTGATATAAATAAGACGATACTTGAAGTGTAGTTTACAAATTATGCTGTCGACCGGTTAAAAAGTGATTTTTTAAAAGTGAAAGTAAGGGTTGATAGAGTTTAGAATTAAACTTGCGTTTCGATTTCATAACTTTCATAATATAAATTATCAAAAGGGTTTTTGTACAGATTGTAATAATTTCAATGGTTGAGATCATGAGTTAATAGAAAACCTGGAGACACTGGACGGCTGTTCCTTCCTATTGTGGGACTCCTTAGAAGTGCGCATCCACGACCCTGCTTCGCGGGATTCGAACCCGTGGCCTATCAGTCTCTTGCGCGAGCGCTTAACCACTAAACCACTGAGTCGGCATCCAAAGCGGATGCGCACTGCCGAGGAGCCTCACAATAAGACGAAACGGCCGTCCAGTGCTTCCAGGTTTTCCATGGTGGTCTAGCTACAAGTGACTCATGATCTCAACTATCGAAATTATCAAAATATAATTTACGTCTACGGAAAAAAATCTGTTTATTCTCATCTACATCATTAGTTTTGGTATCTCTTATTTAGAGAGAATAAAAATGTTTTTCATATGAGATATAGTTAATTGTTACTGTTATATCCTAGTGAAGAATAAACTGTGGGTAACTCTTGAAAACTATTGATGGACTAATATATATATTCCTATTGCATAACTGTTCAGTAACTAGATTATGTGTATCTATATTCCTCGTGTTATAAGCTTCATTTTGACCTATAAATTAATATACTACAATTTACTGTTCTTAAGTTATGTTCAGTTTATTGATAACAGTCTCCCACGTTCACAGCCACTCTTGACTTGATCTTTTGTAAATGTTATTTCTTATTTTATGGTGTGATGCGATCTGTTTGGCTGGTATATAAACCAAGTATGTTTGAACTGAATGATTCGTATAGTGGAAGCTGGTATTGGTGTTCTGGACTCGGCTGAACGGGTTAGGTGAACCAAGGACCAATAAAGATGCTAGGCTGCTCATACCGGTCGAACGTCATTGGTTTGCACAATGCTACGATCGCATAAGTCGTATTTCGATTGGCGAATAAATCACGTGATAAAAGTCAGGCTTAAAGTCACAACTGTTACTACATAAACAGATATTAAATTTTACTGACACTTTACATACCTATAATTTTATTATGCTCATGAATTTCTTTGATAAGATCATCTTCATCAATAATCCTAAGGAAAGTTGAATGAATAAATAAACCAATTCGAGTGAAAAGATTATTAAAAGTTTTAAAAGTTTTACTTTACTGATGCTGACATTTATTATTTTGATAAAATTCTACTATTTATTAACTAGAAGAGAATGGTGGTAAGTTACAACTAAAATGCTTGGAGAAAAATCTAGTCATCTAGCACATTAAATGTATTTAAAGAATGACTTCAATAGAACTAGTTATCTTCTGTATTACTCTATATCTATAATGAATTTTACATGCATTTATTTGTAAAAAGATCCGATCGAAATATCGGATCTGTTTCATCACAAAGTTATTTTTTTAATCGGTGGTTAACCTGAATGAATATCAGGACCCAGGTTACTGATAATTGATTGACCATCATTAATGAATCACTCAGCTGATATAAGAAGAACAGTGCTCAAAGTAACTGACTATCAACGTAAGTAGTCAGATTATGTAAAAGGTGCTAATGAATAAAATAAATCAAATCATTCCAAGAAATTATTTATTGTTGTGCTTTGTCTTCATTGTTTTTATTCATTTCTATTCAATTCAGTTAGAAAAAAATTAAGGGATATGTACTTTGCTATTAAATACAGTTATTATTAGAAATAGAAGTAAAACATTGTTAGTCTAAAAAACGAAATAGTCTAACTTAATTCATGAGATATTTTGAATGATCATTTGTACAATTTGTTCTATTTTTAAATCATATGAATAAGTTCAAGCTGAACCATTGTATATGAATAAGATTATAGATTATGTAATATCTTTATGTTAAATGAAACTTGTTTTCATAACCAGAAATATATATGTCATTTTACATCATTGTATATTTAGACAACATACCACAATATGCCCTTATAATTAGTATATAATTCTAAAGAACTAATTCATTTTATGTTCATCTTGTGTTAATGAGGTATGCCAACTTGGACCGATGCATAAATGTGCCTGGTCCTACGTTGTAGCTGACTGACTGACTATGTTTTTCAACGTTAATTAAAATTGTAGCTTACAGTATTATGTCAAACCCATATGAGTTGTTTTAGCTTTTGGAGAGACCAATCAATCTACTATTTTGAAGTCACATTTTGACCTTGTAATCTTCGCTGATAACCTTTAATGTTTTTGTTTGAGCGTATGTGTGCGTATCGCTTACCCCATTCATTACATGTCTTTATTTTTGTCTGGCTATAAATATTGAGTCACGCTTTATCGAAATAAGTTGGCTGGAGCATATTTAAGAACCAGGAAGCACTCCATTGTATGAGAATTCTCCCCAGTATCCACCCAAGGTCCATTAGACTTGAGGAGATTTCATTGATCATATTTATATGTCATTATATCTATCATAAGCTTATAGTGCTTAAGTCATATCAATTTGTCAGCTTTTTAAAATACCTTGCGTACACTATTGATAAACTTGGTTTCAAATAACAAATATTTTTGCTTGATACATATATAATGTAAATCCAATTGCTGACACTAGCTTGTTTGTGTAAGTACACGTACACAAATATCATGGTATTTAAATATCTGACTTTTTATTGTTATGTCTTGTAAGTCTAACGGTTATTCGTCAGTAATACATTCTTATTATAATTCAATATCGACTGAATGATTATCTTCATGATATCAAGTACGAGATACAAAATTTATCCATCTTTGTAGACTGCTAACCAGCGGAAATAATTACAGGATAATTTTCCAACCAATTCATCAGTTTATAAGTACTCGTATTTTTCCGTTACTTATATCCTAAGGAGAGTGGTCAAGTGGGACAAAACAAGCATCCTGCCTCACTCTTTTGACAACAATAGAGAAATACTAAAAAACTGAAGATGAAAAATAATATTTAGGCAATACACTCAGGATGTATGTATAATTGTAAAGACTTGTCAGTTTTAGTCCCTGATAGTAACAACAGGGAATTCCAAATTGTTAGGAATAAATATCACAATTTTTCGAGCAAATTATCAACAATCTAAACTCAACATATCAGTAGATAACGCATTGAAGCTTAAGATGATAAATACTTGGTTCTGGTATCAGCGTAAATATCAACAGTAGGATGTAGGTATATTTAGCTATCGAGTCCCAAGTAAAACAACATTTCTACATGAATTTAAATGAAAGACAGGATTCAAATCTAAGTAATTTGTCAGTAATCTACATTTCCTAAAAAGCTAATATACTAGATATTAACAAAATGATATAATTTAATTAGCTTGAAAATTATTACTGAGGTTATCACCGTTTCAATAAAATCAACATTTCTATAATAAATACTCAAAAGACTTGTAATACCCACTGTGAACATTGTCCATTGTGAATTTGGTCAGTATTTTCTTTTTGTTTAGTCAAACTACACAATGATTCATCAAAAAAGGGTATACTTGAGTAATTTTCATTCGATTCATGAGTAATTGGATACATCATCTGTTATAAATAAATAACATTAAAAGTAGATAATTAAATGAAGACTTAAAATATGAAATTAAGACAATGAAATATTGACTTTACTTTATCAGTTTGAATAATAGGCTTTTCTGAGTCTAATTTAGAATGCGAGAAAACATGTGGATTATTATTGCTCAATCGCATTCGCGTTGTAGCCAATTTATGTAATTCATCAAATGAATTCCTATTTAATGTGGAATTCTCCATAACTTCTTCCTGTTTTTTCTCTTGTTCTTTTTTTCCAGTTCCATTGTGAATTGATGACACAAATGTGAAAGGCAATAAAACAAACAAAAAGTAAGAGAATACATACAGACGTTAATATTTTCGTAAAGAATAATTACTGTATAGAATAACTACACAAAAATTATATTTTAGCTCTAAGTGTTAAATTATGTCTATAAATTAAGGAATGATATTTAGCTCCTAAGATTAATTTTTTTGATTTATTCACAAACAACTAGGCTGACTCTTTATTCTTTTCTATAGATGATAACATGAAAGATTCCATAATGTCTGTTTCCTAGGCGTATTTATACCCCAATAATAGAAATCCTTCTTAAAGAACAAAACTATATGTACTCCGATTTCTGAACTTTATTTTCTTAATATCCTATTATATTTTGCGGCGAACCATGTTCTAAGAGGATGTAATTGTGATCCAAAATACAAATTTTTAAAGATCAAGTAGTTTAAACTGTCAACATTTGTGAAGATCTCAGTGATTTTAGAACTTTATTCAACATTAATTTGAATATACTGAATCAGTTTTTTAGTATTTGGCCAATAATTTATGTTTCTGTTGACTAGAATTGATAGAAAAATTAAGTGCATAATATAACTTCATTGAGACATTCTGTGATCTCAAAAGGAAAAAATCACACGTAGGAAATAAGATTTGATATTGTTTATATAAATACCTAAAACTCACAATGTAGACAAGCCGTCTTTCTTCAGATTCTCCGATAGAATTATGAGCTATGACTTTAGAGTGTACATTTTTTTTAAGTAAACAAACTTCATTCTATTAACAGTTCGCATAAATTTTCAAATGAGACCTTTGACATCAAATGTTATATCCACTGATATTTGAAACTGCCAAGTTGTATGGTACTAACTAATTCCAAGTGTATTTTTTAGGTCCATGCTTGTCAAATTACTCAACGTTGAGAATCGTTTAACACATTAACTTTCCAATGATTTGTGTCACTTTTAGATCAATATTTTACACGGTATTCCCAGTGAAAAGTTGATAAAAACGTGAAACTCACCAATACTTAAATTTGGCAAAAAAGTCCCTTCAGATACTTTTTGACTATTTACGCTGTCTTGTCTTATTGATTGCTGAAGCTTAGAATTCCGATGCAAACGAAGCAATAATTTTTCTGCGTAAGTTATACTTGGCGTGAAATATATTTCAACTGGAGCAGATGTTTTACATAGTGTTGAGGTTATATGACTGACTGCGGCTGAAGATTGTTTTGTTGTTAGTGGTGTTTTAGTAGAGGGATTATATTGGTCAGGATCATTTATTGCTTGAGTTTGTAAAGCTGAATTTGATTTGGTCTCAATACTAAGAGAACTTTGACATCCCTGTGAAAATTTAATGAAAGGTTGATTTAGATAAAATATCACTTCCATAATCTGCCTGAAGATTATCTGTATATATGTTTTAAAGGTAGTTCTAAAAATTAGTTGGGTTTTTTTGGAAAACTACCGTAAGCTAGTAGTGCTTAATGGTTATTTCTTTAGTAGTTTGTGACTTATCAGTGCTGCGCAGTATAGAATCCTCAAGTATTGAGATTGGGGTTTTCAACTAGCGTCGTTTCACGAGGAAAACTATATTAAACCCTTAAGAATATATGCGGACCTCAAAGTTGTACATTAAGAACTGATATTTGCTTGAAATTCATTAAAAACAGCAATGAATTACCTATTTCGTTGTCTTTTAGAACTCCTAACAAATACTTTCTTTAAATCACTTAGCTATTGAAACTAAGATTATGACGTTTCAAAGTAACTATTTTTATTTGTGAAAAAGATTGACTTTTAATATAACCAAGAAACTAATTTTGTACTACTGAGTTCCCAAACGCCATAAAGTTTTAGGACAAACTTATTAAGTTTAGCGATCTTTATGATCATGACTGCGTTATGACTGTAAGATAAACAGTCATAATGGTGTGAGAGGTTTTCTCTTCTAATAGTTTAGTCTCTTGTTTAACTGGAATTAAATAGAATTCTAATTTGAATTTCCCATAATCGGTAGATTTCACTCATATCAACTGGTTTGAATTTATGCAACAAAAGTTCAAAATTTACATTCAAACTTCACTTAGTAATTATTTGTGTTAATGGTTTAGTTCTTATGATCAAAATAACCTGCAGAGTTGGAGAATAAAACCCAAAAGATATTTTATGCTGTTCTTTATTCCCGTTTCATTGTTTCTGTTTCGTTTACCATATCTAATTCCCTACACATTACAAATGTTGACTAAAAACTTTTGTTTAACAGATTAGAATTTTGTATCATGTATTTATGTATTAAAGTAAATAAATCTGACCCTATAACACAGACTGACCATACTCAAATAACCAGTGAAAAAAATAAGCATCGGAAGGCTGTTTTTTAATTGTATCATGACTTTTAAAAGATTCCTAGCAAAGGTCATTCATTGATGATATAAAACTACACATTTAACAATCTATATCATCCTTCACGCTAACGAAGCCGCTTACAATGTCATTAACTTTAGTTTACTTTTGTGTGCTTTGCTTCATATGTGCAAGTTTTATTTAACCTTTTTAATGCACGACAAGTAGATGCTTGTATCTTGTACTGAGGGTCAATTTAAAATACATTAAAATTGAAATCATACAAAGAGGTTAGCTTGGTGCAAAAATAGTCGCATTGAAACCAAAACTCGAACAAATATTAAACAAGTGATAGCATCTTTACATGACAGTAGCTTGGAACCTGCCTATGTTGTAAGTGATCTTTCGTAGATTTGAGGGATGTGACATTAGAGACTTGCAATTCTAAGACACTTTGTTAAATGCTTTTGGTGGCCCGTGGATCTGACTCCAATTTAGATAGTATAAATGATTGTTATCGCCTATTCTCGTATATAATCATCGACTTAATCGCGTTAGCCAATAACGGAATTAAATAAGTCGAATAACGGGAATTGATTCGTGAATACATATATTTTGTATATGAAGCGAATGAAATAGAGCATAGCGAAACGACACGCATCGAAGATGGCTGGGAAGCCAACTCCATTTTAATCAAGCGTTACTCAATATTTATAGTCAGACAAGATGAAGCTACAGACATGTAATAATTCATGGGATATGATGTGCACACACATATACGCTCATAGAAAAACAGTGAAGACTGATAAGCGAATAAATAACAAGGTCAAAGTATGGCTCAAGTAGAATGGATGAAATGGGATGTCCGAAAGCTAGAATAAGGTATATGGGCTTAGCATAATAACTGACACTACATGCTTTATGAGTCTTGACCTGAATATTTTTTAAGTGACTGTTATTCAAATATTTGTCGAACTTCCTAAAACTTATTAAATACAGAAAATAAGAAAAGTCATACTTTATTTCGTTTAGTAGTACTCAAGGCTTGGCCTCAATATAACTGAGTTTTCATGATCCCATATTCAAACTATAAATAGCGTTTTTAGCGAGTATGCTTCAGATTAAAATTGGAAATATTAGTAACCATTAACAAATCATAAGTATATATGGGAATTTACTAAAGCAGTACTTACTTTAGTAATCAACTCTTTGAATCCTTGTGTTTTGTTAATACCATCAGTTTCTTTACAAGGACGTAACTCAGACCTCGAGCTACAAGTCTAAACCATGATTATAATTGACCGTAATACCGAAACAGGCAACGAATGGTGACGTCTAAGTGCTCCTTTCAAATGAAACATTGCAAAACATTTAGCGCAGTAGTATTCACTGCATTCCTGACACAACTTCAAAAGAACGGGTCAGAAAAATAGCACGTACGACAACAGCGTTTTTGTCTTCACATTGTCCACACATTGACTGATTAGCATTGACAGGATTTACGGAAGTAAGTTTCATGCCTTCACTTATTTTTCGGATGAAACTACCATATCTATCTGGGCTTTTGACTTATTAAGTCATATATCAGTAAATCAAGCTACTTTCAGAAGTTGGACTGTGCTTCAAAGGTTTGAATTTAAGTCCACTAATCTAAAACCAAGTATACACAACGTGTTGAATAAATTTCATACGTCAACTAGTGCATCTCTTTTATGTTTTTCGGTTGAAGAAGTTGGACAACTACCTTCCCAAATCGGTACAGAAGAACTAGTCATTGCATGTAAACCATATCATCTCATTACTTGAGTTTATTTGTCTTGGTTAGTTCTGAATAAAGAGTTGATTTAAGAAGCTTCAGTCTCTCTTCAATCTCCTTTGTTTCCATGGCTAACAGTTCATTCTCTTTTTTCTGTTTCAAAACAGCCCTTTAAATAATTAGCTTTGTTGTTTTATAGCTTACAGTTTCTTGTCATTCTTTTTCATAGGAATCCAATTAAGAATAGTTTGTTGATGAAACTGAATAACTGAATATACACGACCGTAAATTACATCCGAGAAATGAGTCTTACATGTGGTCACACAAAGTGAGGTTAAGAATCATAAAATTATTCTATAGACGTTAAAAATCGAAAGACTATATATGGAGGTGGTTGAGAAATCGAACTATTTCTGTTACATCCCTTATGCCAACACACATATTGATGAATTTAAACACAACTACGTAAAAAAAGTAACAATCAATAGAGAAATACCACTAGCAAATTATCACAGTTTTGCATTCTGTAAGTGCGCTTTATAACGTTTGTCGGTTGCGTCTGAATATGAAAGAAGTGTATATGTTTCTGGTGAATTATGGTATTATATTCCCTTAGGTTCCTGAGAAGTGGTTAGAATGGTTGTGTCTGTCGGTACTCAGGGCCCACTCAGTACTGTAAACACATCTTAGGACGAGTAAGCTTGTTGGTCCTCCTTACCAGTCTAATAACTGATATTTAATTTGTAGATTCCTCTCTATTAAAACTTGCGTAACTAATCTATTGATTTCACAGGTTGAAATCATGCGTCAGTTGAAGCTAGACCACCATTGAAAACCTGGAAGCACTGGACGGCCGTTTCGTCCTGGTATGGGACTCCTCAGCAGTGCGCATCCACGATCCCGCACCACGCGGGGCTCGAACCCAGGACCTACTGGCTTCGCGCACGAGCACTTAACCATTAGACCACTGAGCCGGCATCCAACGGTGTTAATGTCTAACTTCAACTAATCCACGAAGTTGCGCCACCGTACACCATTGTCTTCAGTGAGTTGTTATCTCACAACAGACCGGTTGAACTCCACTGGTAACGGCTTCTCACTAGAACTGCAGGAGTTTTTCTTGAAGTCAGTCACTAGTGAGCAGTTGATTATTATCAGAATGGGTTTTTTGGATAATTTAAGAAATTTCACGGGTTGAAATCATGAGTCAGTTGAAGCTAGACCAGTGGACTTTGGATACTTGGATGAAAAGAAAGAAAAAAAAGAATGAAGAAAGTTTTAAAAGTTCTACTTTGCTTTATAAGCAGTTAAATAAATTTTGGACCTTTATTCTATAAATCCTTGGTAAACAAATTGATATTTATTAGGTGGTGCAAACCACTTCCCTAAAGATAACAATCAAAGAGATTTTTGGACCTAATTATAGCTTCACCGCAACAGAGGTTTACTGGGAGTCTGTTGAACAGCAAATAGCGAGGAAATTCTGGCGTAAGTTTGTGTATGTTCTTTGAATCAATGAAATATTCTCTTTATTGAGCAGGTTGTGGCGTGATACGATAGAGTAGATATAGAGATGGTCCCCATCATGCTAAGCTTTTACCAGGAGTCCAATTTATAAGTCGTGAACTAAGGTCAGCTTACTAGTACATACTGAATGAAAGTGGGTCCGATCTAACTGACGACTTGTTGTGACCACAGAAGAACAACACACTAGTGTTCGTTCGATTCGACTTTATGATCCTATTTTTCAACGGCTTGTCATCATTCAACAATAAATTTGAATAGTTGATGTAAATCTTAACCAAAGTCAAATAATAGAGGCCGAAATAAAGAAGGCTGAGGAATGAAAAGGATTTTTGTAAGAGTCGTGAATAGAAATCAAAAAATAAGGCATGGTGAAAGGATAACAAATTCCAACACTGCCAAGCCAAAGACTTTCACAGCATTTTATGACAGTTTCTTTTATTACGTAGATGTTTGACAAAATAGAACGATATTGAATGCTGTTAACCGTAGAATGCTTCAAATAATTCTACGATAATTATACAAATTTCACGCAAGTGTTTGGAAATTTAGCCGTATAGTTCACTTCAGTTACTTTGGTATCAGAAAGTGTTGAATGGGTTGCAGAAACCGCCTCCTGTAACTCATGTATTGCCGATGTCTAATCCATCCATTATATTTGCTTTTATTGCATTTCACTGACCTATATTCCTTATTCCGTTGATCAAATCATGGGTGTTGATTGGAAGTCATTTTTTTAAAAAACTAACAAACAACCTAGCATTCGTCTTAAGTTTCGTTATTTCTCAGTTAAACCATGTACAAATTTTTGATGAGTAATACTACTAAACATAATACTCCTAGGTTCACTTTAATGCTTACGAATAGATCAGTTTTGTGGTAAAAAACGATTCAGTGACTATGAGTGGATTCATTTTCTGTGATTGAAACTGACAAAGTTATATTTTTACATAAACGCATATAGCTCGCAACTGTTGATGAATATAAACTAGTTTAAGCTTGGTCGGGATTCCTCAGTGAAAGTTAAAATGCAAGACAAGACGAAAAGTTAAAAAATTACAGTTTTGTCTAATAAAACACTTGGGCGAAATTTGCAATGCATTTCTTTTGTTACAATATTTCCAAAGCGATCGAATGGTCAAAAATTTACGGAGTACTTATCTATTACACGAATAGTAATAAATTCAAACGATCACACTCGGTGTAACAGCGGCTTTTGCGTGAATAGACCCCAATGTTAAAAATGGAAAATTAGTAGTTCGCAGTTCGACACCTTGAGAGCCACCCAAATCCCACATAGTGGCAAGACTCCGGTAGAGGTGAGAGTTTACACACTTGGTCAGCTTTGTAGATAAACGAGTTGTATCTGATCCGGACGCTAGAATGACAAAAGTAAAATGAACGGAATTGATGCAAACCCATCTCCTCTACTACCGGACTATCTCACATCATAACAGAAAATTTTGAGAGATTGAAAGATTAGACCTGTAGCTTTCTCAGTCAAAAGCATTGTAGAAGATTAAATCGTGCTTCATCATCGTAGAAATTTTTCAATAGTAGAGCTTTTAGTGGAACACTTCGAGGATCTTTTTTTCTGTTATACATATTTAATCTACTCAGAGTAGCAAAGTCACTTGCTTAGTGATGACTACAAAACTTCAAAACTAGTAAGGCTGAAATGGTAGAATTACAGAAAGAATTGAATTATCTGACGATGTGAACAAATAAGAATCATAGAAATTAAATTTTAGAAAAAGCACAGTAATGCGAATCATTCATTACGACGATTTACATAAGAACACACTAAATAGAACAGTATCACTCAAGGTAATTGACTTTGATAATTTAGGAGCCATAATCAGTGGTGATCTTGGAACTGTGGGTTGAAATTTACGGTCTATTCGTGAGGCATCGCATACTTTAAGTGGGGAGGTAATTAGTATACTGTAATATGATGTAGTTTCGTTAGACTGTATTTCAAATATTTAAATAAGAGACAGAATGTCGTCATCCGACTTATGAACGGGATGTGCTTGAGAGAATTTGATGGTGAGTGATGAAAGTGGTAAAATATTTTTCTGACGTTCTGATAGAAGATAGACTGAGAGGCATTATTATGTTCTCATTGTTTTTTCGCAGATCTCAAAGTGATATAATACTGGCTTACTATGTGATAAGCAATGATTTTGAGGCTAACATCTATCGGTTTTTTCCTCTGGAAGCAGTCATTCACTTTAGAGTTTTATTTCTCTCATCAGTCAGAGAATTACTATAAATTACTGTTAGGAAATGTAATTCCATTTTTAAGGTCATGGAGATTCTCAATCTTGGAAGTAACACGGATCAGAAGTGTCATCATTGGTTCCCTGACTTTAATTTTGATACTAGATGACTGACAACCGAAGTTCTAAAATTCAATTCATATCTTGTCATAGAACATGAGAGTCAGTCTTCGAAATTCAGTCCTTAGTAGGAAGTCAATTGCCTTATATTAATCCATGTAATTTGTAGTACTATGAAGATCCGCTTTCACTTTAAATGTATCAAGTGTATCAAACTCCGGTGATTCACTATTTGAGTAGATTCACTAGTTGTTGTGATAAACGTAACTCTATAAATGAAGCTTTCACTTCGGTTTTTGAACTTTCTCAAAATTGCTTTTCAGGTGATCAGTCCTATGTGAAAGGAAATGATAAGATATATTATTACGAAAGCCATCATTTAGTGTGCGATAATCACAATTGATTGATCACTGGGTGGTGATCAATGTCATGCTTGTCTAGTCCTCATTAGTGCAGATCCAATGCTATCGATCATGTTGCAATGTGGCCACCAGTCTAGGTGACTCGACACTGCGGGCACAATGTATTGAGATTTGGATGGTGGTTGGAGGTAGTCAACAGGAATCCCTGGACACGGGTTTCGTGCTACTTGGCACTCGTCAGCAAGGTGTACGTGTAATCTTGAGGGAACTGGTGGTCGCTGGCGGATTCGATCTCGTGTCACCCAGCTTCACGATCAGAGACGTTACCACTGAGCTATCCGTGCTGTGACCAAACTCCAGTTGGACTGAGATGTAATCACAATTGATTGATCACTGGGTGGTGATCAATGTCATGCTTGTCTAGTTCGGTGTGGTAAGTACATATTAGATCACCTGATAACCTTCGATGAGATAATAGAAATAGGTTGAAACATCTCAGTCTGTCTTCATATAACGATAGGCTAGAGAAACCGTCCACAGTTTTGATCCCTCGACTTTGAACTCGTTCTTGAACATCCGCCCAACCTTCATACTAGCACAAAAGACCCTGAAGCCATTGTTAGCAACGGCCTTGCAGTTAATCATAGTTTCGAGGTCGTTGCTTATTGCAACCCTTCATTCCTTACGGTTCATTGCCGCAGATAACGTCATTTCATACAGTGCATTGTGGCATGAATCGTCTCAGCCATTTAGTTGCGTTACCACAATTTTGTTAAGTAAACGTTTAATGAACACTCATATGCGAGTGTAGCCAGTGAATTAGGGTTGTCCTTCAATATTATTCAGCCAGTCATACTGTATCTGGTTCCTCAAATCTTTTTATCATGTGGAGATAGTCGAACAGATGACTTTGCTATGGTTGGTAAGTTATTTACACACGGTAAAAAGGGAGACCAGAGATTATGTCTTGAGGACTCTCACTTTTATGGATCTCAGCGATGGTAGAGTCTAATTAACCAACGACGGTTGTCTCCTATGATTGATAAAGTCATTTATAAATTTAATGATTTTATAGTGAATCTCGATAATTTCCATTTTCGGTTTAAGACCTAGGTGGTAGACGATGTCAAAGGCTTTACTTAGATCTAAGAAACTTGTCTGTTGAAATATTTGTATCTTTCTCTGCGTCCCAATCTTTTACTG